AAAGCAAACCATTAAAGCAATGTTGCCAGATTATCAAAAATACGTTATTCAAAGAAACCTGCGTCACTAAAAGGTAATTATGTCGAAATCACGGGCAATATCTCTATTTTTCAAACGAATTTGATTTTATATATTATTTTATGCCATTTATTACCAAAACCTGGTATATGAATGGAGGTTATATCGAATAATAACAATTTAAAAAAAATCAAATTAATTAATTTCTATCGAGACCTCTTTTCAAAATAAATTCAAAATGTAACTTGATTTTTACAAACATTTGCCAGTAAATAAATTAGAGGTTTGAAATAAATGGCGCGCTAATGCGTCAGGTTAAAATAAAGTATATATTTTTTAAATGCCTCAAAATTTTAAATTTTCAAATTAAAATATATTGTGAATAGACACCTTAAAAAAACTTAAACTTTTATTATTTTATTCATAAAAAGTGTTATTTTAAGACGAAACAAATAATTTTAATCCATTTTGATTTTTTACCTTTTAGAAATCTATAATTTCTGCTGTATATCAAATGAATACAGAGTGTAAGACATAATTCAATTCAAATTTTAGATTGCTAGCATCTGAAAATTTTATAAACACATAAAATGTTCAAACTATACGAGCTAAATCAATACTTTTAATTTTTATTTATTTACTAGCGGACCCGCCCGGCTTCGCCCGGGGTTTTACCCGAGTAAAAGTTTGTCTAACGAATCTCTCGATAAAGTGAACATTTTTTTCCCGGTCCCTTGAAAAATACTCGATAAGTTGAATAAAATCAATATTAATTGGTTCCCTCGGTAATTGGAAGTTAAAGGAATAGTATCTTGCCTTTGAATTGTATCATTATTCTTGTCTCAAATAAATTGCCGTGTCATCCTGAATTTTGTCTTTCCTAATTTTCTACATTACAAAATCATCGTATCATCATGATAATATTTAGAGCAGATTGTTGAATTATAACAGATAAATTATAATATTTATCTTGATTATTTCTAGGCGAAAAGTTATTTCAAAAATTTTATTTGCTAGAAACCTTCCCAGTACTATACTAAATAACTTCCCAAAGTTTCATGGCGATCCAATGAGTGGTTTGGTCAGGCATAAAGGACAAACAAACAAACAAACAAACAAACAGACACACATACATTCATTTTTATATATATAGATAGAAGATATTATGCGGTTATTTATCGATTTAATGTTTAGTGTTTTTTTTTTTTTCACTCAGCATCTTCAGATGCCATCACCAATTAGAAATTCAGATCATGGTCATCAAAATTTATATAATCTCTTGCAAGTGAGAAAGAACACTATGGAAGAATTAGAGATAAAACAATACTTTCTATTTTCTCATTATATATTTTTTATTTTAACAATTTTAATGATAGAGAGAGAGAAGGAGAAACCCTAGTAGTAGTATGAGATGGTGGCATAAGGCACTGCTTTGAAATCTCCATCTTGTGTGCTACTTTTTCTTTTTGAAAAAAAATCATCCAACACCATCAGATATTACATAAAAACTCCATTGGAAATTGTTCTAAGGTTTTGAAGGCAGGATTACAGTGTATTTCCTTTAATTATTTTATTGTTCATAAATTTTGTCATAAATTATGTTTGTCTAGCCCAAAGCAGGAAATTGTCTTTAATTTTTTAAAAATGTAAATCAAATGAATAAGTTAACAATACAGCTATAAATAAAAGCTTTATACATAAAATTTAAATAAATTAGTCCCTTTAAGCATAAACTTGATAATTTGAGAAATGGAGGTATTGCGTTTCACCGCCACTCTGTGTTGTGACGACGATCTAAGTTCTATAGAGGTAGTCACTCACCTCTATTCTTGGTCGACGGGGTTGAAGGTTCAAAATTGTGGTGTCGCTGTTCATAACACTTTTAAAATGTATGACGAAAAAAGGAGGGAAAATTATATTTATTATAAATTAAGAAAATAAGTAAAGTATTATTTAATTCATTATATATTTAAATATTTACACTAAAAGAATCGGGGATCAGGGCAAATTCTCGCGTTCCAAAGTTGTTTACAAGTTCTTTCTTATTTCCTTGTTCCTCCCATTTCAACCGTTGCATCCCTTAGCCCCCTTCCGTCGGCCTCCCATTGGCTGCTGCGAACTCCTTCTTTTCCAACATTTCTCCCACCTTTGAGTTGGCGCCTCGACGACTCAAACATGGAAAGGAAAAGTTCAGTATATCCAATCAGTTGGGTCTCTTGATGGGCCCCCGTCTATAACTTGACACAACATTAGGGTTTCAATGTGATGTTGCTCTTGTTGTGAAATCAAAGGGTCCTCTTCAGTTGTCAATCGAACTTCTTGTGTGGGAGATCGCTCCACTAGAGGGTCTCGACATCTTATCTCGGGCGTTATCTCTAAATTGTAGAGTTTTGAATAGGTCATATTTTATCACCTGATGAAGTTTTCACTTTCGCAACCCTCACAAGTCCGTCTTTTCCTGGATAGAGTTGGATTATTCTGGCTAACGGCCAGTGTAGTCTCTTTAAACTCTCTTGTCCAATGAGCACCATGTCTCCCACCTTGAATGGTATGGTAGTCTTCAGGCGTCTCGTTTCTTGTCTCAGGAATCCAAAATATTCTATACAAAATCGTCCTCTAAGATCTTCTCGTACACGTTTGATATATTGATATTTGCGGGAGAGGGTCTGGTTATCAATGTGATGT